CCTGATGCAACCAGACCTCTGAAGCCAGAAAAGCCACATGGAGACCCCTGCCAGTGCTGCGATGCTTACAGCACCACTGGATCCAAAGACTTTCTGTCACTGGCCTGTGACCGCCCTGCATTCAGCGTCATTGTATGTGTCTCCTAAATCTGACAAGGACTTTATAGATTGGTATCAAACATATGGGCTAATATTGGACTTATGGGTTTGGACTGGACTGGGCTGGGCTGCTTTCTTAATGTACAATTACCCTTTATATAAAACTCTCTCTTAGACACATATGAGTTTCTATGGATTTGTTTCTATAGTCTACCCAGACTAACACAACAATTGATTAATAAGTTAATGAATTTTCTCCCTTGTTTAGTAGCAATGTAAACTAGATTATTTTATATTTAGGATGTTATATGCAATCCCCTCAGTAGCCACAGAGACAATATCTAAAAACTAGACAGAAATTAGAGGTGCTTGGCTAACAGGAGCATGACTCCTTCGCCTCGGTCAGCAGGAGGGGTGGGATATGTGCCCCTGGACAGAGACCACTCTCCACTCATCCTCAGCTTCACTCTCCCTGGTGAAAACTGAAGCCCCTTGTGTGCTGACCAGGATAGGCTTGACAAGTGGGAGCAAAGGACCTCCAGACCTAGCCCTCCAGGACCGGTTGTTGGCCGGGAGCCAGAGCCTGGCTTCCATGATGTCATTGTCTTCCAGGCACCCTGCCCCCCTCCTTTTAGGTTGGAATTGGGGCTTCAACCCTGCCACGGGGTTCTGGGGGTTGACAGAGCCATCCTGGCTGGTTCTGGTCCCAGATCTGCTATTCACCAGCTGTATGACTATTGACAACAGACTTAAATGTCTAAGATTTTCTTGGAAACTGGTTCTATGAAATGAAAAGTAATTTGTAAACATAACGTTCCCCACACATCTACTCAGCTAGAAAGGCCTTCGGAACCTTCTGTGCCTTGGGACTACTCCCCCCTGTTGATCACAGGAACACAAATGTATACCTTCTTTTTGCTTTGTGAGACATGAGGCATATGCAGGAGACCTGAGGCAGGTTCTTGGTCAATGTACCTCAGTCACAGCCACCAGTCATCAGTGGCTTGCTGTGATGCTGAATATGTTTCAGTGGATCTTCCAGCCTAAGACAAACCTGGGAAGAGAGGCTTGATGATCAACTTCTGAGAACGAGCCAATGAAAAAACCCCATGGATCACAATAGCCCAGTCCCCATCCAAGGAGTGGTACAGGGCTGAGCAGCATTTGGCTCACCATGATCAGACACCAATTCAAGGGCAGTTAGTAACAACACCAAAATATATGCAAAACTTGCCATTTTTATCATTTAAAATATACAGTTTAGTTTCATACTTAATGGAACTTATTAAACATTCACAATGTGGTGCAGTTATTAACATTCTATTTCTAGAACCCTTTCTTTACCCCATATCCATTAAGTAATCACTCATTCCCCTTTCCTTCAACTCAGTCCCTGTAAACTTCTAATCTTTTATCTCTAGGATTTGCTTGTGCTGGGTATTTCAAATAAATAGAACCACCTTGAAAAATCTGAGCAATATCACAAATTATACATGTAGACATTGTTGAATTGGTATAGGCTCTTCTGTGTACAAGGGGCTTCAAAATTCAATTTTCCCAGGAGCATTTTTTTTCTTGACTGTAATATTTTTTTAATTAAAAGATAATTTTATTGGGGGCTCTTATAACAATCCATGCATAAATTGTATCAAGCATATTGATACATATGTTGCCACCGTTCTTTTCTAGACATTTACTTTCTATTGAGCCCTTGATATCACCTCCCCTTTTTCCTCCCCTCTCACCCCCACCTTTGTAACCGCTCGATAAATTATAAGTTATTGTTATTTTCATATCTTACATCAACCACTGTCTCCCTTCCCCCATCGTTTCTGTGGTTCATCCCCCTAGGGGGGGGTGTCTCTGGTTATGTGTCGATCATTACCATTGGTTCTGCCTTCCTCCCTACCTTCCCCCTACCCTTTTGGTATCACTACTCCCATTCTCCCAGGAACTTTTTGAAGCCTCCTAGTATATTCTCAACAACAAATGAATAATAAAATAAAAGTATGCAACAAATGGTCCTTTGTGGCTGACTTCTTTCACATAGCATGTATCAGTACTTCATTCCTTTTTCTGGCTGAATAATATAGCACAGGGGTGAAGCACTGGGCTGCTAATCCAAGGTTGGTAGTTCTAACCCATCAGCTGTTCCATGGGAGAAAGATGAGGCTGTCTGCTTCCCTAAACATTCATAGTTTCTCAGAAGTCCTATGGAGTAGTCCTACACTGTCCTATGGGGTTGCTGTGAGTGTGGTAAAGAGCAATGGAGATGGACACATCTGATCGCCTCTGGCTTCCCTATTGCTACAAGGCTGAGTCAGACATGGCTCCCTGCTCTATCCTTTATTACTGTTCTGACACCAACCATTCCTCTGTTTCCATGCCAGGTTCCATAGTTCATTGCAGTGGCCACACAGATCTCACAGACAACACTCACAATGAAGGGCGGTTATTACGGATGCTCACAGGTCACCAATAATCAAAACCAGCAGACAACAAGGATACCATCATTGATCCACAGCAACACTTCCCCTCAGCCAGGAGGTAGGTCTCTCGCCTGTCCTCGGCCTCTCAGCCACAGGGTCCCTAGGCATTCGCCTCCACGGATCGGGAAGCCAACTCCGTTGTTTCTCAGTCTCACAGTGCCAGGCTTGGGACAGCTGAGGAGAAAGCAGCCCAGTATCAGCTGCTCCTCTGAGTCTCTGTGCCACAATCTTTGGTGCATCTTGCTTGGGGGCTTCCATCACTTGAGACAAAGGCCTTGTACATTCAGTTTCTGTGTCCCAGATGAAGGAATGGCATGATGGAGCCGTGGTTGTCTTAGCAGACCACACCCCCAAGGAAAACCAAAGATGGTGTCTTAGGTCACATCCTCTAGTAGAGTTTAGAAATGCCTATAAGGGAGCGAAGAGTGTGCCTTGGTTCACACCTCTACTAAGTGTGAACTAAGGTCAAAAACAACAATAACAAACAAGACAGCAACTTACTGCAGTTGATTCCAACTCATAGTGACTCAAGGACCGGGAAAACTACCCCTATGCGTTTCCGAGACTAACTCTTCGTGGGTTGCAAATCCTTTTCCTTGTATGTGCTATCTTTCACTCTCTTGAGAGTGCCCTTCTCTGCATGAAAATGTTCAACTTTGGTGAGTTACACGTTGCCGAGGTTTTTGGTGGTGGTGGTCAGTTAGTGTGCTTTTGCTGTCCTAGTCAAGAAACCATGGCTAAAGGCTTGGGACCTCATCAATGCACCAAAAAATAAAAATCTAGTTATCATCAAGATTTCCCATGATACAGTTTTCTAAGAGTTTTATCATTTTCATTCTTAAAGCCAGGTCTTTGATCCATTTTGAATGAACTTTTTTAATATGAGGAACCAAACTCCTACTTTTGACTCAGGACAACACAGACGTTTATATGAAATAATGTATGTAGATGGCTGAGCACCAGGCCTGGAACTTTGTGGTTTATTCCAGAGACGAACTAAGAATGCCCATCTCTGGCTGAGCCACCCGAGTTTTGTGCCCACCTGCTTCCCGACCCTTCCTTTGACCTCAGCTGGGGGCTTTGATTCATCTTTCTTCAAGAAGGGTAGTAGCTACCAGTGTATGTGTGTGTTGGGGTGGGGAGGGGTTAACGAAGGACCAGACCATTAGGACTAGCAAGTTCAGACCCAGAGTGGGAGGACATAACTTATAAGACTCTAGTTTCTCTGCTTAGCAGCATAGTGCAATAACTTGTATTTTCTGCCTGATACTACTTCATGGAAGGAGCCCTGGAATTGCAATAGTTAAGTGTCTGCTGCTAAGTGAAAGGGCAGCCACCTGAGGCCATCTGCTCCTCTGGGGTCAAAGAGGTCTGGCTCCTGGAAAGATTACAGTCTAGGATACCCAATAAGGCAGCTCCACTCTGACCTATGGAATTATTATGGGTCAGAATCAATCAACTAGATGTCACTCAATGCAACTCCCATAGGCCACTGGAGAAAGTTTCCAAGAGTCCATTTGGTCAGACATTGGAATAGAGCAAGGCAGAATGCCAGTTGAGGGTCTACCCTGAGGCCCAATACTAAACTTTTTAAAAGTCAAGGGTAGTTTTGTGGGAAAGATGCAGCCCTGAGAAGGTGGGGGAGTGGGAAGGAGCCCACAGCCTCGGCCATTCCCCCAGCAGATGCCCTCCCAGCTACTTCCCTAGGGGTCACAATTATTCAGGGTCCTCAAACTACGGCCCCCGGCCACATACGGTCCACCAAGGACATTTATCCGGCCCGCTGGGTGTTTTTGCCCCGTTTGTTTTTTTACTTCAAAATAAGATAGGTGCAGTGTGCATAGGAATTTGTTCATAGTTGGGGTTTTTTTTAAACTATAGTCCGGCCCTCCAACGGGTCTGAGGGACAGTGAACTGGCCCCCTGTTTAAAAAGTTTGAGGACCCCTGCTCTAGGTGTAGGAGCTGCAGATGGAGGTAGGGGAAAGACGAGCTTCTGGCCCTGTGGGAGATTCAAGATGGTCACCTCTGGTGGAGCTCTACAAGGTACGAGGGACCGGCCTCTAGGAGGACCTGTGACTTGAACCATGCCGCCAAGACTCCAGCCTCTCTGGTGAGCAGCCTATCCGATGCTGGACAGCTCAGAGTGCTGGTCAAACCACTCAGCCTTTGCCAGATGAGGAACCTGAAGTTAGGGGTGTGCCTGGGAGCTGAGGGTGCAGGCAGGAGACAGGCACTGAAGTAGATCATTCTGAAGGATGAAAGGAAGAGCCATGGAAGGTTTCCAAGCATCAGGAGGTTCCTTGGGTAATTCTTGTGAGGCAGTTTACCAAAAGGTTAGCGAGCGAAGCCCGAGGCAGTACCTGAGGGGTAGTCTTGGTGGACTGAGGCGGGCCTGGGTCTGGACACTTGTGAGCTGGGCTGGGTTGATGGGGGTTCAGGTCTGAGCTGGAAGAAGTCTCAGAGATCATGTATCCAACCCAGTCATTTTACATGAGGAAACTTAGGCCCCAAAGGGTTCATTGGAAGAGCCTTGAGAAGCACTCGAACGCCACCGCCCCACCAACACTGGGGCAAGAAGATTTCCCCATCCTGATCCCAGGGGTCAAATCCTTACCTGAGGATATCAGGGTCGCAGGTAAGGAGCCGGGTTCTGCCCCCAGGAGCTCAGCTGTCTCACTGAGGGGTCCTCAGGACCCTCAGCCACTGAGCTCCTGCAGGCTGCTTAGGAAGCGGGGAGGAGTTGCAGCAGGCTGGGCTCAGGGAGCCTCAGGCCAGAGAAAGTCCGCTAGGACTTCTTCCTCACCAGGGGGCCACCCCCAGTGCAGCAGAGCGAAGGAGCCTCTAGTGCTGAGAAGGCTACCTGGTGTGTAAAGGATCCTTTTGAACCCGGGAGAGGACTCCAGTCTGAGGACACAGGAGAATTAGTCATGCTGAGATGGAGGCTGGAGGTGACTGTCTGGAAGGGGCCCATGGAGAAGACTGGGGAGAGAGGGAAGGCCTTAGGTGGGGAGAACCGAGCTATTGAGCAACTGGAACTAAGTAGGCCCCAACTGCAGGTGCTGTCGGTGGGGAGGTACCCTGAGTCGGCTCCCTGGTGAGTGGAGGTGTGGGGTGTGCCTTCTTCCAGATGTCAAGTTTCTGGGGTATGAACCACGGGGAGCAGTTCCGAGGGCCGGCTTGGGCTGAGGACTCAGGAGATGGGAGGGTAGTTTCCAGAGAAAGAGGAAGGCGATGGAACAGAGGGAACACAGGTGGTCTTGGCCTGGAGGCTGAGGAAGGGTGTGGGGTGTGCGGGGGGCTTTTTATGGTAAAAGACCTTCGCTAGCTGTGTGGCTCTGGGTTGGCCCGTGGGCCTCTCTGAGCCTTGCGTTAAAAACCCAAATAGCAGTTGCATTTCATCCTATGTACAGGGTGGCTGTGAAGTCAGAAGTCTATCTTATCCCAGGCCCTACCACTCCCCTTGTGGGTCACACTGCTTGTGCCCCTTAATCCCCCAAGCACCCACTGCCTGCCCTTCCTCTAAGGGGCTGCATGTAGCATTCTGGGAGTGCCCCGAGGAGTTTGAGACAATCTAAGACCTAAGTCCTGAGAGAAACAAATGGGAGCCTGGGGGTGGGGAATACCAGAATTCGCTCACTCATGATGGGTGGGATGTGACATGGACCAATGGTGTCAGACCTATCCCATCCCTGTCCCACCTTATGCCCATCGGCTGTTGGAATATTTGGGACAGTCCTGTACATCCACGTCCTTTCCAAGCTCAGGCCCTGTTTGCCTTCTTCACTACAAGGAGCAAATGGTGTGGTGTGCACTGCCCTCCGCAGTTTACCAGGCATCGTCCCTGGCTTAGTGGCCCTTCAGACTGGACAAATCTGTCAGCTGGCTTGTGCTAGTAACTAACGGCGATGGAGCAAAGGGTGGTGGTCATTCTGCCAGGAGTAAGGCAGGGTGGTCGTGGTGATGCTTTGGAGCACCCAGAGGCAAGAAGCCCTGCAGTTGGGCTCCTACCCTGTTTCCCCGAAACTAAGACAGTGTCTTAGATTAATTTTTGCTCCCAAAGATGTGCTAGGTCTAATTTTCAGGGGATATCTTATTTTTCCATGAAGAAGAATATGGTACACATTTAATGTTGAACAACAAAAAAGGAAATGTATTACCTGTATACAGTATGGTAGTAGTTGTCATCAAAAACCAGCATAACCAGATAAACTGTGAATCCTACAGTATCAGAATTTCTTGTTACTACCATTATTTCCATGTACAACAAACTATGGTACATTTACTCATAATCTATGGTACATTTACTCACACTTCCTATCTGCTTCGGCTGCCCTGCGGCTACGTGGCGACGCCCACCGCTATGGTCCAGAGTCGAGTTATGGTAGCTTTGGGGGGCCTTATTATCGGGGAGGCCTTACGATTGGGCAGGTCTTATTTTCCAGGGATGCCTTATATTTCAGTGAGAGGCAAAACTGTAAATAGGTCTTATTTTCAGGGGATGTCTTACTTTCGGGGGGGGGAACGGTAGCAGTCTTAAGGCCCCCTGCTGTCAGCTGCCCTTATTTATGCTCAGCCCCCAGACTTTAGCTCCTGCGCCAGGGTTGCCCTGCCCACCCACCCCAACCAGGCCCAGATTGTAACTGGAAGCCCTTTTCACTCTGCACCTTCCCAGGTGAGTTGAGATTCTGCTTACTAAACCCGGCAGAGGAGGGAGGTGAAGAGCAAGGGTGCTCTGGGTACGGGCATCCATCTGGGAGACCCGCGTTCTGGCAGAGGAGCTGAAGGGAGCTGGAGCCCTGAGGGAGAGAGTTGGAGGAGGAGATGGAGCTGGGCTGACTCTCCTGCCTTTCCATCTCCATCTGTCCCTTAGGCCTGACTCTGGTGGTTTCTCCCCTCCTGGTAGTTTACTTCTTTGCAGGAGAACTCTTAGAATCTCCATGCAAGGCCTTGGGTGGGCTCTCAGGGGCAGAGCCAAGTGCTTGGTTCCTTGGCAAAGGTCAGACACTTGTGTGCCTGCCCTAGCTCTGCAATTTACAGCCTGCCTTCTGCAAGGCTCC